CGGGTTCTTGCCAGGCTGTTCTTTGCTCTGGTACCAGTTAGAGCAGATGCGCTCGCACTGTATCTGCAGTGTGACCACATTACCATTGGGGGGAGCTCCATGTCTGGCGTGTAGAGAAAAGCCTTCATGGAAGCCTATTTATCAACCTCCGAGCCTCGGGCAGCACCGTGGCCCGCCCCAAGGAGTTTGTGCCTGTCTGTACGCCCGGGCATCGGAGTGAGCACACAGGACACTGATGATGACGATGATGATGTGTGTACCATCAAATCAGATCTGACTGGTACAGGAGGAGGTTGTCCCTCCTTCTCCAGCAGAGCATCTGGTGGATTTGAACTGTATGCCTCTGGGATTGCAGTGCAGCTTCTTGCCACTAGGCTACCAGAGTTCCCACAGGGCACTCTTGTACAACAGCCATGACACACACTGGTCTCCTGCTCTGCTCATCTCGCTGGGGGTCCTCCGGCCATCAGGGGGCACTACGCTGTACATTTTCAGGTGTATGCAGTGGGAGCTCCCTTTCTGGGTGCGCTGTAGGGTCTGCTTGTTGGTTCCTAGCAGGAAATGAGGGGAATGGACTGCTGTGGGAAAAACAGGCCCATGTCCCGTTTGGAAGCAATCCCTATGTACACACACACACACACACACACACCCCCCAGGACCTTGCTCACCAGCTCCCATGGCTCCTTATGTCTTTGGCTAATTTGCATAGTTAACACATGGGCCCAGTTGTCTGTGCAAAGAGGTAAAGGTCAAGGTTCATTGGTTCACAGTTTCCTCATCCGTAAAATGCAACTAATAATAGCACCTACCTCCCAAGGTGGCTGTGAGGATTAAAAGGAGTTAATTCACGTAAAGCATTGAGAACAGTGTTTGGTGCATGGTTAGTTCTCAAGATTCAGCTAACGATAAAATATTATTCTTGCCTTTTGCAAGCTATTGGGCTCCAGGTCTTAGCAGCTCTGTGTACAACAGACAGCACACAACCCATATCCATCATGTGTCCTACAAACCCCTCAAAATCTGCCCTGCTTATTAAGCCCATGGCTGCAGCCACTGTGTCGCTCCGTCTCACAGAGCGGCTTCCTCTCCTTCACGGACCCTCTGCTCTCTCAAGCATGATGTGCTTCTCCTGGGACTGATCCTTCTTGATGTTATTGTTGCCATCAAGTCATAGACGACTCCTAGCGACCCTATAACGAAAGACCTGAACGCTTGTATAACTAACTTTCATTGTTTCTCACAGGGAAACATAATTTTTCATAGGATTTCTGGAGGCAAGCTATTTCAGAAGTAGATGCCACTCCTGCTTCCAAGCTTCTTTGAATCGGGGAGCTCCACCAAACACTGTCCCCCATGGGGAACCATGACCGCATTTGATAGCATGTCCCAAACATGTAAGATTAAGTCTCATTCATCGTCGCTTCTAGGGAACATTCTGTTCGCACTTGTTCCTTTTAGAAGCGGAACATGCTAATGGCATTCCGTAAAATGAGATTCCTCCATGCATGTACGCAGTGTTTTGAGCACCTGACTTCTTCATGTGCTGTTGTTTGATCTGTGGGGGGTGTGGGCTTGGAATCTTCTCCATCTTTTTCCCCTCAGGGGCAAAAAAAAAATCATTTTCCTCCAACTTCCCCCACCCCACAAAATGTTCACAGAGAATGCAATAAAATATCCAACAAGCCTATTTGAATGAAGACAAGACATAATTTGCATGATAAAGATATATTTCCATTTGTAAAAGTTCATCAGCGGAATTAATGGCAAATAAAAGAGAAGATCCAATTAAAGTCCCCCTTCCATTAACAATGTCGCCTCACTCCCAGGGCAGGGATTTGAAAAGGGGGAGGCTTAAGTTGGAAATTATTTAAATACTCAGGTCAGTGGCATTAAAAGGGACGTGAAGCGATCGTATTAGAATTCAAGGGAAAGAGATTCCCGGGTGATTGTTGTCATCCAAGTCAGATGTCTTCCCCCCTCCTAGTCCACCAGCTCTTTCCGTGTTCTCTCAAATGAGCTGTCAGGAGCTGATGGGTGTCATCGTCATCAAAGAAAACAAGTTTGCCCTTTAAAGCAGAAGAGGTAATTTGGCTGAAAGCAAATTGGAAACGTTTCCTGTAACGCTGAGTCTCCAGCCACAAATTTTGATGAGTCCAAGCGTTTTGATTTATGCCCGAGAGCTTTGGGGGACAGTGGGGGAGCAGTGCGTCCATTAAACACTGTTCACCTCCATCCCGTGGCCCTGGGGCACAGATCCTTCGTGCTAGAGAGGCGGGCTGGGTCTGGCCTGGCCTCCCACTGAACGGTCAGGAAAAGCCTCAGACTCAGGAGCTTGACTGGGGTGTGGATCGAGGAGCAGCCTGGTGGCACCTCCTCACCCTGGTCCCGAGTCCCTAGAAAGCCGTTTAACCGAAGACCCATATTCAGCCTGCCATCATTGCCACTCACTTTTTTGGTTCCTCTCTTAGTTTCCTGTTTTATAAGCCATTATGTCCAGCTCACTGCAACCGTGTGTACAACCGCACACAGCATGCCAGGTCCCATCCGGCCTCCGCAGTCCCAGAACACCTGAGCCCACTGGCATCAAGTGACTGCAACCCAGAATGGCCCCGGAGGCGAGGGTAGGAATGCCCTAGAGGATCACCAAGAAGCTCTGATGGCGAAGTGCCTAGTGTATTGCATTACTAACTGAAAGGTCAGAGGTTCGAATCCACTAATTGCTCTGCAGGAGAAAGATGGGCAATGTCCTCCATTAAGATTTACAGCCTCAGAAGCCCTGGGAGCATCACTCTGGCTCAAAATCAACTCAGAAATGCCAGTAACAGGGTGCCACATCTGTCTCTTAAAGAGGAACTGGGAGCGAGGTCTGGTGGCCTAGTGGTAAGAAGCTGCACTGCAATCCCAGAGGTACACAGTTCGAATCCACGAGGTGCTCTGCTGGAGAAGGAGAAACAATCACCTCCTGTACCAGTCAGATCCGATTTGATGGTACACATACAAATAAATAATAATAATATTAATAATAGTTGATGTTGTTATGTGCCATTGAGTCGCTTGCGACTCATAGCGACCCTATGTACAACAGCCCTAAACT